AAGCTTATCTAGGAGGTGGCAGCAAAGCCACATAGGCTTGGCCCCAGAATCGCACAATGAGGCGGGCAACAGAGGACATTTAGTTAAAGTCTTGCTAAGTAAGCATGTGGTGTGATGCTACATCTAGGTTGTTTACCTTCATTTGAACCAAATTCTAGAGTGGGCCTTGGCAGGACGGTCCCAAAAGATGAAGGTGTATCCTATATTTAGACTATTTATTTATCTATCTATCTATCTAACGAGACAGGGTCTCACTGTGTTGCCCTGGCTAGAGTACAGTGGCGTCATCATAGCTCACTGCACCCTCAAATTTCTGAGCTCAAGCGATCCTCCTGCTACAGCCTCCCAGAGTGCTAGCATTATAGGTGTGAGCCACTGCACACGGCCTCCGTATTTAGACATTAGAGTGAGGGGCTTCCCCGGGGCCTCATTGATTCTCCCTTCAATCTTGGGTCTATCTTGCTCTTTAAAAATACCTTTTCCTCAGCAGATACCTGTGTCCTCTGTGTCTTGAACAGGTCATTCCTGTGGTGGCTCGGATGATCTACGAGATGTTTTCTGGTGATTTCACACGATCCTTTGACAGTGGCAGTGTCCGCCTGCAGATCTCCACTCCAGACATAAAAGATAATATTGTTGCTCAGCTGAAGCAGCTGTACCGCATCCTTCAAACCCAGGAGAGCTGGCAGCCCATGCAGCCCACCCCTAGCATGCAGCTGCCCCCTGCACTGCCAGCCCAGTAATCAGGAATGCCATCTGCTTCCTTTTCCTTTTTACACTATTGTACATATGGATATTTTTTATTATTCACATTTAACCAGCTTTTGAATCTCTTTTTTCTCTAACAATGTTAGAAATCTATGATTATCCAAATATGCCTAGATTTAAAGTTGATTTAATTTATGGAAAAATCACCCTTCAGACTTCTCTTTCTTTTTTAAACTTCCCAATGGTAGTAGGATATAGTAGAAGGAGATTTTGCCTGGGAGTTCGGACACCAGGGTTCTAGCTGCAGCTTTGCTTCCAAAGTGACCTTGAACAAGTCTTTTTACCTCTGGGCTTCAGATTTATCACTTGTAAAGTGAAGAGATTGGAATGGTGCCTGAAATTGCATCCAGCTTTCAAACTCTGCCTCGATGACTTTATTCTACTTGTACAAGGCAAAACTGCCTGGAACAGAACCCTTCTGCATTGTTCTTGTACCACATTTTTTTTTTCTTGCTTTCATTAAAGTTCCCTCAAGCACTGATTTGTCCAGGATGGAGCTCTGTTTGACCTGTTCTGCTAGTATAGTAAGCTTGCTCCCTGATGGGGGAAGTGAGGAGAGGAGCTGGCTGGTTGCTTAGGAACCAAGCTTGATATCTAAATAGAAGTGGGTGCCAAAGTCTGAAAGTCACCTGGCCCGTGGAGTAAAAGCTCATAAATTGGGCTTCTTTTTTTTTTTTTTTTTTTTGAGACAGAGTCTCGCTTTGTTGTGCTGGCTAGAGTGAGTGCCGTGGCGTCAGCCTAGCTTACAGCAACCTCACACTCCTGCCTGGGCTCAAGCAATCCTTCTGCCTCAGCCTCGCGAGTAGCTGGGACTACAGGCATGCACCACCATGCCCAGCTAATTTTTTCTCTCTATATATATTTTTAGTTGTCCAGATAATTTCTTTCTATTTTTTGGTAGAGACGGGGTCTCACTCTTGCTCAGGCTGGTCTAGAACTCCTGACCTTGAGCGATCCACCCGCCTCGGCCTCCCAGAGTGCTAGGATTACAGGCGTGAGCCACCGTGCCCGGCCCATAAATTGGGCTTCTAAAGGGAAGCTGTCGACACAGAAAACCTAGGGATTCTGTGGAAGAATGGGTTGTCAGGTATTTAACTTGTCACCACTCAAATACGTGTGCGTGCGTGTGTGTGTGTGTTGGGGGGTAGATGAGAGTATATGACTTAAGTGGTAGCTTTCAGAGGAAGGAACTCTTGATTTTTCTTAGTGTTCTTGTCTGTTTGGATTTTTTGCAGTTGGGAAAAATGGGGTGCTGGGTGTGTTAAGGGGCAGGGTGAAGAAGGGCTGGGCAGTGCTCTTCTAGAGAAGGCTCACCTAGCGCAAACCTGCTTGTCTCCCCGGCTGGTAGAGGTATCTGGGTGTGAACGATGAAAGTAGAGTGGTATAGAACATTGTAGCTGTATCTGTCACAAACTGGTTCTATCTAGTAACTTTTGCTTATTCTCTCCCTTTTGCCTCTTTTTTTAAAAGATGAAATTATGCATAATTTAAATTCCAAGACCTAAATGCCAAATAAACTTCTGATCTTTGGTTGCAGGCCCCAGTCCTCCTGAAATACTGATACTTGTCTGTGTCAGGACATGGTATGGAAGCCCGTCTAATCTACCTTTAAACCATGCCACCTCCTACTTTTCTTGATAACTGAAAAGTTGAGCCAGCTTTAAAAAACCAAAAGTTCAACTCAATCAAAGGTGACAGTGGGACTAATTTATTTATTTAAAATGCTTCAGCCTTGGTTTTAGGGTCTCTAAGAGACCTGGTATAATTTGCCATTATTAAAAGCATGACCCGGTGAAATGTCAGTAAAGGTGAGGTGCCCAGTATCAAGGAAATGTTGGGTTTTTAGAGACCAGGAAGCATGTAAGGCATAGAAACTTTATATTTTGGGGGCCATCTTGTTGAAGTGAGGGATTTGGTCTTGATGTTTGGCTGCCCCCATCCGTATGTGGAAGCTCAAGTTAATAATAATCCTCTGTAGGTAACTGGGAGGGCAACTGTTGAATCTGGGCAGGTCTCCTTCCTTTCTGTGAAATGCTAAAAGTCAGGCTAACTGGATGGGAGCCCAGATAACGTGAGCTGGGAAAGGGTGTTGAGAAAGTGCCAAGAAGCACCAAGCTTTTATTGAATAGCATGACTGTAATGAAAAGTTTACAAATGTGTCAGAGGAATGGATGAGTGGTTTTTGTGGTCTTAACTAGATAGCCCAGTTTCTTCCATGTTTTGAATCCTTTTCAGAATGCAGAGAGAGTGCATGCAGGGATCTCATCTGATCACCCTTAACTCTTTCTCTGGTCCTGATGGATAGATAACTGGTGTCCTTTCTTTTTTGAGGACTCTGTCACCTGTCTCCTTTGGTGGCTACCACCACTCACTTCCTTGGTGTCTTCTACTCCCTTGCCTTTACCTTGCTTAAACTGGGATGGGAGTTAAGATTTTTTTTTTTTTTTTTTTTTGAGACAGGGTCTTGCTCTGTCACCCAGGCTGGAGTGCAGTGGCATAATCATAGCTCCCTGCAATCTCAAACTCCTGGGTCCAAGCTATCCTCCTGCCTCAGCCTCCTGAGTAGCTAGAACTACAGGCATGTGCCACCATGCCCGGCTTATTTTCCTACTTTTTTTTTTCTTGTAGGGATGGGGTCCCGTTATGTTGCTCAGGTTGGTCTAGAACCCCCAGCCTGAAGCAATTCTCCTGCCTTGGCCTCCCAAAGTGCTAATGATTACAGGCATAAGCCACTGCACCTGGCCAGGAGTTAGATTTTGTTACCAGCTCTTTCTTTTCCTCATGGTGCACACCCTACCAAACTAGATTAGTTCAGAGTTAAAAAGAACCCACTGAAGATAAATTGGGAGGGCAAATGTTAGATCTGGGCTGGTACCTTCCCCATATAATTAGGTCCCTGGTTTTATGTTCCCATAGCAACCTATACTCCCTCTTTTAGAATAATCGTTTCCCTTGTAATTGCTCAGCATCTGTGTCCAGCTTGACTACAAACTTGCTGAAGGCAGGGATTGTCTTAGACTTTGCTGCCAGTTCTTAGAACAGTGTCTGGTACACAGTGTGTTCTCAAATATTTGTTGCTAGAATAAATGAATGAACTAAGTCTTTCGTTTTAGGAATTTATTATTAACCACCATGGGAAAATAAATAAATATGGGGAAAATTAGAAGACTGGTTTCTACTCTCTGCTTCTGACTCCCTCTGAGCTAAGACCCAGAGTTAGGCTGGTAGCTCTTACAAACTGGTCCTCCTCCCATGCTGGCCCCATCTTTACTTCAGTTATCTCTTTTCACAGAAGATACCACTCAGGTAGAGCCAGGAGTGAAAACTAGAGTAGGTGTCTGCAGTCCCCTTCACCTCTATTCTCCTGTCCATGTATAAATAAATCTGGGCCATTTCCTCGATATTGAGGTTTTCTCAAGAAACTCTTCTTCTTTATGGTATGGGTCAAATCACTGGTAGTTAAAAAAAAGTGTGTTAACTCTTAAGTAACACTTTCTTCCTGACCTGATTGAAAAGCCTTTGCCTCTTTGCTTCTCATTTCTCTCATTTGAAATTAGCAAACTGGACTCCTAGAACTTAAGCTCCAGGAAGGTTGGGGTTTTTGTCTATTTTGCACACTGCAATATCTCCATGGCCTAGACGCAGGCCTAACACGCAATTGCTCACAGTGAATACTCACGCCTTCACACCCTGCCGAGAGAGCTCTTCTTGTAGCTCAGCCTTTCTAATTCAGAATTTAGGGAGGTCAAAGTTAAAAAAAATTTCAAAAAGCTTTGCAGCACCACTCACAGGTGAAGATATTCAGTAAAACATGTTGCTTGTCTTGAGATATGTTTCGTCTAGAAGAAAAAGCACATTTTTGCAGACGGATCAAAGGTGTTTATTAAGTGCTGTGTGCCCTACTCTGGCCTCCCGGTCAAGTGGGACACCAGATGTCACATCCCCCAGGCAGGGCATGCCGTGAAGCAAATAGAGGGCGGCAGCGGGTAACCGGTTTCGCCAGGTCCCGCCTTCTTTCGTCCACTTCCGCCCCTCCTCGTTCTACACAGACGGGTGGGGCCGCGTTCTGTCTGGCCGGAAAAGGCGGGCCGCCAGTGGCCCGTGCTTCCGGCACATAGCCGGTTGGCCTCGCCGGCGTTCCCAACGCAAGGCGCGTGAGCAGGACGATGACGTCACGGAAGGGGGAGAAGAGGCGGGGGCCCGAGTGGGCGCGCATGCGCAACAGGCCGTGTTTGCGGGGCGCGGGGTACTAGCCGCCTTCCCTCAGACAGGCAGGAAGCCGGAAGGAGTTCCTGAGCCCGCGAACTTGCAGCGGAAGTGGAAGAAGAACGTACGTGAGCGAGACCTCTGCCTCATTTACCAAGTCACTCGTGTGCTTAGGTGTGGGTGTGTGGATTAGAGGGAGCCCATTTTCCGAGGGTCTTTGGATGTCGGCCAGAAGGGGAAGGAGGGGCAGCAGAAGTTAAAATAGGACCTTCCTGCAGTTCTAGCGGATTTCATTTATTTATTTTTATATCTCAGGGTGAAATGGCTTTTAGTCCACATTCTGGGGTACGTTAGTTTAATCAGATTTCTGTTCTTAAAACTCTTCTTAGCAGGAAGAGGAGGGGAAGTTGGCAGAGGAAAGAATACATTTGGAACTTAGAGTTATGTCCCAGAAGGGCAGTTTTGTGTGAAATGCTCTTTTGAATTTTGCCAAGACTAATCTGCTTCTTCTCTGCCCCAAACTCCTGAAGGGTTGAATCAGAGAACGTAATTTGCAATAGGTAATATTTAGAATAGAAGCCAGATAAAATATAAATCTGGCCGTAAGTTCAGAAAAACACAAATTTGGGACTCAGACCAAGTCAACAAGAGAAATCAGATAGCATTGGTGACTCCATCTTGGGGGGACTGGATCAGCATTTCAGAGCAGAGGAAGGGACACAATAACCTTTGGAAAATGCTATAACACTTAATGGGAAGGCTGTTGGCAGGTTTCCTGGTCTGTCACTTGCAGGTGTTAATAATTCCTTGCTACTGCTTTGTTCCTAGGCTCCTACTCAAGTGTCTGGAGCTGAAAGATGCAACCCAGGGAAGGGAACTGTGGCTAGCTAAGGAAGCCATGCTTGATGTTCCTTCTAGATCTCATGTCAACACCAAACCCTCAGCTGCTGGTGGCAGCTGCTCAGCAGACCCTGGGCATGGGAAAGAGACGCAATCCACCCCACGCCATCTGTCTTCATCTCGCCGGAGAGGTGCTAGCTGTGGCCCGGGGACTGAAGCCAGCTCTGCTCTATGATTGTAACTGTGCAGGGGCATCAGAGCTCCAGAGTTATCTGGAGGAGCTGCAGGGATTGGGTTTCCTGACCCTGGGACTTCACATCCTTGAGATTGGAGAAAACAGCCTTATGATCAGTCCTGAACATCTATGTCAGCACTTGGAACAGGTGCTGCTTGGTACCATAGCCTTTGTAAATGTTTCCAGCTCCCAACCTCACCCTTCTATCTGCTCCCTGGACCAGCTTCAGGACTTGAAGACCCTTGTGGCTGAAATCATCACGCATTTGCAGGGGCTGAAGAGGGACCTATTGCTAGCAGTCTCACACAGCAGACTCCATTCCTCAGACTGGAATCTCTGTACTGTATTTGGGATCCTCCTTGGCTATCCTGTCCCCTATACCTTTCACCCGAACCAAGGAGATGACAACTGTTTAGCCCTGACTCCACTACGAGTATTTACTGCCCGGATCTCATGGCTGCTAGGTCAACCCCCAGTCCTGCTCTATTCCTTTAGTATCCCAGAAAGCTTGTTCCCAGCCCTGAGGGACATTCTAAACACCTGGGAGAAGAACCTCAGAATCCGATTTAGGACTCAGAATGACTTTACTGACCTCAACATCTCCTCTGAGATAGTCACACTGCCAGCTGTGGCCCTCTGACTTTAACTCTCCTCCCATGTAGAAGGTACTCAGTAAATGATCATCTCTAGGTCGGGGATGGCATATAGGAATCATCTCAATCGCCAGTTCCAAGCGTCTTGAGTGGGAGAATGCTGTAATCAATTGACCACATATGCAAAGGGCATGGGAATAGGTGATGGTGGTGGCGGTGGTAGCATTGGCAGTACATGTTTGCCATTTCTATATTAGGAAGTCCTCTTAGTGGAGATGTCTTCGTTTTTCACTGGATAAGAGGAAAGAGATGGTGGGGAAAAAGCAGTATTTGTATGATAGCCTTGTAAATATACCTACCCTATGTGGATAGTGTCTTCCAGGAAAGTAGAATGGCTGCGGGCTTTTTTGCATGTATATATAGTCCAACTGAATTTGACTAAGGAGAGTAGACCAGTATGCTTAAGTGATGTGATACTTGTGATACATCATTCAGAAATAAACCAAGAGTTCTCAGTCTGGTCAGGTGAAATTTATTTACAGTTGGTTAACAAAATAACAACAAGTCAGAAATCCCAGTTTAGTTGGGGAAAAATCCAAGCTGTAAACTTCCCAGACCCGAGTTTTTCATTGAGTTGCTTGCATCTCATTGTCACCCAAGGCAGCTGTCACAAGTTATTCATCAGGTTGTCTTTGTTGGCCAGGAACACTGCCAGTGCTATAGCAATCACCACCACCAGCATCGGGAGCCATCGGCCACATCGCCTCTGTGCAGAGGGCAGGGGAGGCAGAAGAAAGCAGCCATGAGTTGGGTGAAGAAGACAAAGGCAAAAATAATCTTCCTTTTTCCTACTCTAGCCCTATGGAAAACCTTGGGTTGGTGGAGGACAAATAGCTATTTACTTCACTGTCTCTCCCACTTTCTGACCCCTCCCTTGGGATAAAATCACTTTACCAGTGTCCCTACTCCAGGGAACCATATTCAGCAAGAGCCAGATATTTAAATGCTGATATGAATAATCAAGGGTGGAAAATAACTCAGCAAAATCATATGCCTCAGTCCTTTTTTTTTTTTTTTTTTGAGACAGGGTCTTGTCTGTCACCCCAGCTAGAGTGCAGTGGCGTGATCATAGCTCACTATAACCTCAAACTCCAGGGCTCAAGCAATCCTCCTGGCTCAGCTTCCTGAATAGCTAGAACTACAGGTATGCACCATTCACCTGGCTAACTTTTAAAATTTTTGTAGAGACAGGGTCTTGCTATGTTGCTCAGGCTGGTCTTGAACTCTGGGCCTCAAGCAATCCTCCTGCCTCAGCCTCCCAAAGTGCTAGGATTACGGGCATGAGCCACCACCCCCAGCCTGCCTCAGTACTTTTGATCTCCTTCTTCTGTCCTTGCCACCATGCTCACCATAGGCTAAAAGAGCACCCTTTCATACTTTAGCTAATAGTAAGTCTTTCCCTTCCAGCTCAAGTGTTCCATGACAGTTGGGGTTGGATGGCAGTGTTTCTTTCCATGGTTGCCATACTATCAGTATAGTGTAAACCAAGTGGAGTGGGACAGGCTGGCCAGATGTTGGCATGGGCTGGTAAAATTTTCTGTGTAAGACTTGGCTAAAGAAGGAATTGTGCCACTGCCATCAAGGGGTGTATGGGAGGATAGACCCTCTTACTGTGGGAGGCAGTTGCTGGCTCTGATTCAGCTCTTCTCGACAGTGCTGCAGCTTACGCAGGCAGGAGAGATACTCGTCACTGAGGTTGTCTAACTCTGAATGCAGTTCTCTGCACTGGGGAGAATATAACCAAGATCATCACCATTACTTCTGTCTAGGACAGAGTCCAGGTAGGGGAGACTACCCTGTGTAAGTTACTCCTTCCTTTATTTGGAATTTTTACCATCCTCCCTTCCCCAGTGTTTCTTAGAGATTTGAGTTTGTCTTTCTGCTGTCTCACCTAGTTTATCTGAATGCATGTAATTATTACATTTATACATGAAAGTTCTTTTATGTGACATTGTACCTGCAAGTGCTTTGTAAATGGGGGACACCAAAAAATGAAGTTCTTAATAGCACAGAAGACGTAGAAGTGACCTTAGTCCAAGTCTCTTTTTTCAGGAGCTGTCGCATGTGAATACTTCCAGGGATATGTATGTTTGTGGGTACGTAGAGAGCAAAGAGTATTATTATTTAAAAGATGGTATATTAAGCTTTAAGATACTCAATATGGGACAACGTTTGAGAAGTTAATATGTTTATTAAAATGTGTTTGAGTTTAGGTTGACTTTCCAAAAGGTAACTAATAAAACCTTGAATAGGAGTTGGTATAAATAAGGAAGGGAAAAGATTTACAAGTCAGTCCAAAAAGCAAAGACATTTTATACAGGCAGATGAATACCTGCGGGCATCCAATCACAATTTAAACTTCGAAATCCCTGCCGGCTGACTGTCCCCAGTTTCCCCTGCTACTCTGCAATTGAGTCCCTCACCATCTGAGTTCACCTTCTCACCTCCTTTTCCTTGGCCTGGAGCTGCAAAGTCTTCTTTTGCAGCTGGTCTCTGAGATCCCAGTCTTTCTCCTTCCCTGTACCCTCAGGCTCCACTTCGTGACTGAAAGGCTTGGGACTCCACACAGGCAAAGCCTGATCTAAAAAAGCAGCCAGATTCTCGGTGAGAGTGAGACCCACACCCGCTGAGGAAGGGCCTTGTCACAGAGTGAGAACCCCTAGGACTGGGGGAAAGGGAGGGAAAATGGGAGGATCTTCCTGTTGCTTGACTGAATGGAATGGAATTCTTTGACAAAGAACTCCCTGTGGGACCCGGCTTGGCCTGGACTGCCACCTGGAATTTCACCTCTTTGAGGGCAAAGTTTGTGCTTTTTTTTGCATCCCCCCACTCTTCTGCAATGCTAGATACTTTTAGTGAATACATACTAATTGAATTCTTTGGTCGTATGTCACATCCTTGCTAGTTTGTCAGGTAGATTTGCTGGATGCGTCAATATATGATCCCTTTTCCCTTAATGTCCTCATTTCAAAGTCATGAAAATGGCAGTCATATTCTAAAATTTGTCTTCATGTGGCTAAAGATGGTTTTTCAGCCACCTTTTAATCTTAGTCTTGATGAAAAGAGCACTGGACTAGGAGTCAGAAGTTCTGAATTGTTATCTTAGCTCTGTTCTTAATTTGTGTGACCATAGACCTTCATGTTCTTATCCATACTATGTGGGCATAATAATTCTGCCTTATTTATTATATTATACCCAGTGATTGTGAAGAGAAAACAAAAAGTCATGTGTAGTGGATAGGAGAGGAGCTATTGCCCCTTCGTATACATGATGAATTCTCAGGAAGCTTGCTCAACAGACTCTATGGCTAAGAGCGAGGTGACTCTTGTATGCTATGTGGTTTAGGAGTTGGGAGTTGGATATGATTTGGAAAATCAAGTGTGTAAAAATTGACATGAAATCCTCAGTTCAAAATCAATTTATTGAAATGTTCAACACAGACAAATGCTTTCAGAGAGAATAGAAATTCTTTTTCACGATTTATATACCTCAGGATAGAAAGTTAACTAGTTGAAGAGTCCTTAGAGTCAATGGTCAGTCCTTAAAAAGCTCCTCTACATCCCTGACTTAACAGACTCCCAGAACTGGATGGGACTCCACGAGGTTAAACAGTCCATCCCCCTGCCTGCAGGCAGGCAAGGAAAGAGCAATATCTTAGAATTTGTGGTAGTAAATTTGCTGACCTTTCTTTGTTAAGAGTTTCTCCTGTTCTTGAAGCTGTATGGATTGATTCTGAAGCAGACCTGTTGGAAAACACAAGGAACTGTCTATGCTAGCATAATTATTATAAAGAGTCTCTTTTCAGAACTCTGTTTAGAACCTTTAATTATTAAAAATGCTTCTTTCTGCTATGGGTTGAATTTTGTCCCCAAAATTTATACGTTGAAGTCCTAACCCCCAGTACCTCAGACTGTGACCTTATTTGGAGATAGGTTCTTTACAGAGGTAGTCAAGTTAAAATGAGGTCATTAAGGTGGGCCCTAGTCCAGTATGACTGGTGTCCTTATAAGAAGGGAAAATTTGGACACAGGTATGTTCATGGGAAAGACGATACGAAGAGACACTGAGAGAAGATGGCCATCTACAAAGCCAAGGAGAGAGGCCTGGAGTAGATCCTTCCATAAAAGCCCTCGGAAGGAACCAACCCTGCTGACACCCTAATTTTGAACTTCAAGTCTCTAGACTGTGAGACAATAAATTTCTTTTCTTCAAGTGACCCAATGTGTGCTACTTTGCTACGAATATACCATCCTTGTTTCTCCTCCTGTCATATTTTTATCTTCAAGTCTCTATTTAACTGTTATTTTAGAAGAAAGGCTTTCCCAGATGACTCTGTATAAAATAGCAACCATTTTCTCTTTAACCTGCTTTACTTTTCTCCATAGCAGTCATTATGACCTGATACACATTTATTTGCTTATGGAAACTCTGCTTTGGACTGTACAGCTTACCTAGAATGTAAGCTTCATGAGGGAAGGAGCTACGGGTTTTGTTGACTACTATACTGTATTAGTGTGTATATCTAGAGTGCCTGGTACTTAGTAGGGGCTCCATGAAATGGTACTGAATGAGTGAAAGCATGGTTTTGAAGTGACTTCCTGCCCATCCAGCTCCTGCTGTGTGGGAGCTCCCAATGGGATCCGCCATGTTCTTCCTCCCTCTCCCCTGTGGTTGCTGTTTGCTTGAAGCATCTGTTGGGTGTCAGAGGTTAAGGTGGTGAACAAACAGTAGAGGTGTCAATTGAGTCATGTTATTCAGCTTTTCAGAACTTGTCTGCTTTTCTTCTGAGAAGTAGTCCCTTTTCCTTTCTGGGCTCAATATGTAGTTTGAAGTGGATTGAGGCATGTGTAGTGTGAGCTTACTTTCTAAACCATTCCTAGTGACAAAGGTATATGTGACATATTCATGGACATAAGTTAGAGTACATAAAATAAGAACTGCCCTAGAATACCCAATACTTTTTAAAATCTGCAATTCTAGGGGAAATAAATGTACGTGGTTGTCATTGGCATGGAAAGAGAAAAGTAGAAAAGAAAAAAAGGAACAGAGGCTAATATATAACTTGTGAAGAGCTACGTAATGACCTCACTTCACAAGAAGAGAGTCTGAACATACAAAGAGACAGAAGAGATGCCAAAGACTGGGCCCTTTATCCCTCCTCTGAATGCCTTTTTTGGACCAGAAGCCCCACGAGCACTAAAAAACCACCTGTGCTACTTTGAGAATCTGTAAAGGGAACTTACTCTGCAACTGTTGTACTCTGGTCACCAGGGCGAGTTTCTCCTCCTCTGACCTCTTCAGTTGATCTGAAAATGAAGTAGTGTAAACCAAAATAGAAGAACCCAGGCTTAATGAACTCCTGTGTGGGATGAAAATGAGTAACAGGTGTTGTACTATCTGTGACCTCTAATGTGTCAAATGGAAGTTGTCCTATCTTCTACTTGTCCTATTTCTG